ATTTTACGGTGATAATCTTGTTTTCTTGTGTCCAATAATGCATAATTTCATTTGATAAACACGTTTAGATTGAATGGTAATTTATAATCAGTCACAAGAACGTCGAATTTGAATCACTTGAAAAAAACACGGGGTGCTTAACTTTTTTCCAGGTGTATATATACAAGAATACCGCATATCTAGTAGCCTCCTGAGACTTCAGGAAGGGACTGAACATTCGAGAATATGACGTGTTACTAGGGTCACGTGACCCCCGCTGTCGTAACAATACGTTTACGGAGACTAAAGATAGAACAGTCTATCAGTACTGTATTGGGACACTTGATAAGTGTGTGATCGTTATGGAATTTTTGTGATTCCAATCTTACTGGCTATATTTCTCATGAAAGCAGTCATTGATTTGGAGGTATAACTGGAAGCTTATGATTTTGTTTAGCCTGTGAGCTTCTATCATTTTCAAATCCTCGTTTATTGTTAACACAACAAGGATATATGCCCAGCGTCATGTACAATGGCCTTTTATGGTTGGATGTCTCCCTCGTTTGTTTGTTTGTTTGTTTGTTTTTAATTATGCACAAAGCTACACAAGGGCTATCTGTGCTCTGCCCACCACGGGTATCGAAACCCGGTTTCTAGCGTTGTAAGTCCGCAGACATACCGCTGTGCCACTGGGGGGCCCCTCGTTAGTAACAGTAGCTTTTACTTTGAAAATGAAAGCATTGCTCCAGATTGACATGCGTAAGATTTTGGAGCTTTTTTTAGTATTTTCAAGCAAAAATTGATTACCCTACAAGTATCAGAAAGTTAGTCCTGCTAATGACAGCAGATTTGCCCAAGAAATAAGGATAGCTCTCAGATTCAGTATTACTGAGTTTTCTCGTGTATGCGAAATTTAGCAAAAATGTGCAGATAACTTAAGCGGTTTTGAAGTTTACATATTTGAATGGCCTACTGCAAGTTTGTTTTTGATTGCAGTTTTGAAATTTTGTTTTTTATGGACATACGTCACACAGTAAAATCATAAATCATATAAACTGTGCTTGTAAGAAAGCAAGAAAACTAAAAACATGTTAAAGTTACTGAAATAACTGTAATTTAACAAATGTAACCAAAATGATGGATTTATTATGTGATCACACAACTTCCTGGCGATCTTACCATCAAAATCTCTAGTATAGGTCCAGTTTTCTAGCGCCACCCAGCGGTATTCCAAGTCGTTGTACCTAAAGTATGGATCGTCCAATGCACCTGTCTTCACCAAATCGGTGTAAATTCCACCAGGCACGTTGGCAGAAACAACAATACCTAAAATGATCGTCAAAAATCAAAATAGGTAAAAAATACTTATGTAAAAATTAATGAAAAAATCGAGATATAAAAAGTAAAATACACTTAAGATATTTGCATATGTAATATAGAACGAAAACTATAACAATAAAATGTAAACAAAGTTATAAATTAACCTTTTCTTATGTATAAAATATGAATGCTCTTTTCTTACAGCCTTAGGTAAATCTCTGTTAGATATTTATTATTATATACAACAAAGCCTGGTGGTTAGGGCGATCAACTTGCAATTTGCGGGTCGCAGGTACGAATCCCCGTCACCGAACATGCTCGCCCTTTCAGCCGTAGAGGTATTATAACATGATGGTCAATCCCAATATTCGTTAGTAAAAGAATAGCCCAAAAGTTGGCAGTGGGTGGTATTGACTAGCTCTCTTCCTTCTAGCCCATCACTTCTAAATTATGGACGGCTAGCGGAGATATCCCTTGAGTAGCTTTGCGTGAAATTCAAATCAAGCCAACATATATATATATATATATATAACAAAATTCGAATATTTTCAAAAATAATACCTTTAGTCTGTGGAGTTTGTATATTGTAGCAATTTTCTCGTTAAGGTTTAAAATATTTTAATTTTGATGCCAATGTAAAGACTCGTTTTAATTAGGTTTTGATAATAAATTGTTGTTAATAGATAATTTGTTTTGTAACTTGAGTTTTAAAATTTTGAAATAAAAAGTAGAGTGAAAAAAAGAAACTTACATATTTGTTTTTATAAATTTCAAACTTAAATTTTGTTACCTCTAAAAAAATGGTTTGCTGTTTTCTGGTTACAGTTTGTTTTGTTTTTGGTTGGTGTTAAGCACAAAGCTACATAATAGGCTATATATTCTGTTCCTACCACAGGTATAGAAACCCGGTTTTTAGCGTTATATATATATACCTTCAGTCGTATCGCTGAGCCACTAAGGGGGCACCAAGTAAATCTTTTTACTTATTGGCCAGATTATTGTTACTTATTAAATGTTCATTTAAACTGTTGAATTATCATTTTTATATTTAACACTTCACCAATAATTGTATGCCTGTAAATTGTAAAATAAATCTTTTTATGCAAACACAGAGACCACAAATTTCAAGTGACGAGCATTATCTTGTATAAATCATTTCTTAATTTATTGTCTCCTATATTTTCAACAATGTTTAAATAATTAAAGTAGCTCATGAAAATTACCAATTATAATTAAAAGGAGTTAGTTTATTCTTATTAAACTCCCAGTTTTTGATTTATGCCAAATTTTGCTATACTAATAGCCTTTCTCAGAAAGGGTTATGATAGATGGAATGGCAGCACTGCATTTCGAATTGTGGGGGTTCGCTGTAAATCAGACATGTATAAATTCCAAATATCTAGCTCGTGGCTTCTCTATGAAATTTGAAAAAATTGAATATTTAAAAGTTACTTTTTCCATTTTGTTTTATTTAACATATTGTATTACACAAGTATTAAAAAGAATGATATTGCCTTGGCAATATTTTATGTTTTCAGAACACATTTTTGTTCTATAAAAATTCAATTTTCCGGGGGCTCAACTGTAAATTATGCGGCTTATAACGCAGTAATCAGCTTTAGAAGATTAACGTATTTCAGAATGCTTAAAAGGATATAGATTAACTGAGACTTATCACTGCATTAATCTGAACAGAATTTGGAAAAGAGTATTATAGAAGTACTTTCAATACACAACATAAAATAAAAGAAACATTTTGGTCCAACAGTATTATTCGTATTGTTACTATCTGCTTGTTTGTTAATTTCCGGTAGAAATTATTTCCGACGAACTGCAGCGATACAAGTCCTTTCTTGATTAAACCAGTTTATTCTTTCTTGATACAAACTTTTAGCACACAGTAATTCCACAGTCCATGACCAAGTGGTTAAGGCACTCGACTCGCAATCTGAGGGTCG